GGTCCCTCTCTGGGAGGCAGAGAAGCATTTTCCTGCAGCAGCTTGAACGCAGGTGAACGCAGACTTCCGCAGACAGCAGCTGTGAGGCCTCGCCATCAGCTTTGGGCGCCCTCCTGCAAATCATCACTCTAATGCCAAAGAGAGTACCAAGGTCATTAACCCTAAGCTCCTAAAAGCAATTCTTTTTCCTGACATTTGCACTCAAGCCCTTTTAAAAACCATTTTTTGTATGTTTTTTTATTTAGAGAGAAAGGGAGAGGGAGAGGAAGGGAGAAACATCGACGATCAGGTTGCAGGCTCGATTCCCGGTCAGGGCACATGCCTGGGTTTTGTAGGGGGGGCATGCAAGAGGCAGCCAATTGATGTTTTGCTCTCACATTGATGTTTCTCTCTTTCTCTCTCTCTTTCTCTTTCTGTCTCTCTCTCTCTTTCTCTCCCCCTCTTCTTTCATCTCTCTCTCTGTAAAAAAAAAAAATCAATAAAAAATTTTTAAAAAATCAATGAAATCAAAAATAGAAAACTAACAGAAAAAATTTGTAAACCAAAACCTGGTTCTCTGAGAAGATCAATAAAATTGATATACCTGTAGATAAACTGATCAGAAGAAAAAGAGAGGTGGCACAAATGGCCAACATCAGAAATGAGAAAAGTAATTCCCTACAGATTACATGTTAAAAGGACAGTGAAGATTATACAGATACTTAAAGGGTAACATTATGAAAACAGGGGTTTGGGGATGGGGTTGGGTGAACAGGAGCAGAGCAGGCAATGTTTAAAGCCGTGAAACTAACCCGTGTGACACTAACAGCGGACACACCTCATAACACATTTGTTAAAACCCAGAGAATGTCCAACACAAAGAAGAACCCTAATATAAACTCGACCTTATTTGTAGTAATATATCCACATATATGGTGAGGGCAGACGCTCTGCTTCCTCCAAGCCCTTATTACTCTAACTTTTTATTTGGGTATATTAAGGGGAGGGAAAGAAAGGTGTGGTCTCTAAGACTCACGTCATAATCTCCCCACTTTCAACTCTAAACAGGACAAGAAACCCCTGATCCTAACTCTGCTATAGACGTTCTTTCATGAATGGCCCAGGAGATTAAAGCATTTGTACCTCAGATGAGGAGGTCCCAGGTTTGGGTCTATGTTAAGCACTGAACTGATGGAATATTGTAGGTAATATAGATAATATTGTGTTTTATGAGAAAAATGAAAGAAGTTATTAAGCAAAATAGAATGTCAGAGTGACGAAGGACCTTAAGATTTACTTGATTGAATCTCCTTGTTCTAAAATGACTGAGGTCCAGAAATACGGAGTGAGTTTTTTCAAGGTTGGTTTTCTGAGCTTTCCTTGAAGATGTGTTTGCAGCCCAAGGGAAGAGAGAAGTTTGCTCGGACCCTTGTAGAGCTAGTTCCCATTGCTACGAAAGCAGAAAACACCCTTCTGGGTAGAGCTGGGCTGAGGCTGGAGCACCCCTCCTGGGGGCAGGTGGACTGATGGCTGTGAGCAGGTGCATGGAGGGAGCTTCGGTGTTGAGAGTCTACTCATCAGCTGGGGGGCCTGAGGCCTGGGGTGTCCATGTCAGCGTGGGACAGTGGCAGTGAGGAGGTGTAGGGATTCCTTATAGAGCTGCTCACCACACCCAGGCCCCCATGTTTGCCCAGTTCCAGGGGAGCCATTCCCACTGTAATCTATAGGAATGGCACCCTCTGGAGTTGTGGCTGGGCTTGGCGGCTTTGTCCCAACCATGCATCCCACCCAGGCGTGGTGCAGTCCACCGTGATTGTGGAGAAGCTTGGCACAGAAATGCCAGACAGCGAATGAATACTTCATGAGCAACGGGGCCAGGTCGGGTTAATAGGAGAGCTATAGACCCAGCAGAAAATGGATCTTCCTAGAGGTGAGCTGTGCTTTTGTCCAGATAGTTTTCCCGAAAATGAGCAGCAGTTTTGAGTGGATGTGCCCGTCATCCAGGCATCCCCACTGTGAGATCAGCTGTCATCCTCCATCTTCCCGGTCAGACCCTGCACAGGGCCCAGGCTTCCCCTCCCCTCGGCACCCCAGAACTAACAGAGCAAAGCAGGAGCAAAGCAGAAGCTGCAGGCATCTAGCCGGGGGTAGCAGGGCTGGGGGAGGGAGAGAGCTGAGTCCAAAGGAAGCGCAGAGGGAAGCCCCAAGCTTCCTGGTGGCAGGACCAGGCCAGGGACCTGGTGTGCTTTGAGGCCTTTACCCATATGCCATTAAAGAAAGGCTAGGCCCATCCTCAGGGCCAGGACATTCCGTTTGAGGAGGCTGGTGAGGTAATAATCGGAACAGGTGGGGATGCACCACCTAGGGCCACTCGACAGGCTGGCGCAGCCCTGCTGGTGGACACTGGGCACTGAGGAGCAGCTGCAGGGAGGGCCGTGCACAGGAGACAGCAGCCAGAGCCACACCCGAGTCACATGATCTCATTTTGAGCTTCACAACTTTACTGGTCAACATCATTGTGCCTTTTCTGCAGATGAGGAAGCCGAGGGAACGGGCCAGCGAGGGTACACACATTGTCTGGAGACGACCTGCGGGCACTGAAATGAGCACGTGACTCACTGCCAACCGCTGGGCCCCCCAGTGGCCAGGGAGGCTGTCCTGAAGATGCCTGGGGCACGTCCCCCGAGTCCGTGCACGGGAGGTGGACTGAGGTAAACAGGAAAGTCCGAATCCATGACCGCTGACCAAACCCGCTGATGGCAGGGGAAGCCATGGCCTGGCATTTACATCAGTGAATGTGATCTTTTCAACTGTAGACATGGTCAAGGGCTTATCTGGAGATCTGGGGGTCATGTGGAATAAACCCAGAAAGTGGTGGGGGCGGGGATTGTCCCCTGCTGCCTGGGCATGAAGGGAGGCCTGGCCTCTGGACCCCGCCTGTGAGGTCCAAGTCAGCCGTCCCAGGTCAGAGGCACCTGTCCCACCTCCTGGCCTCCTGAGCTCCTCCCCGTCTGTCCTCGAGGGTCCAGCCTGGCGGCCTCTCGCTCAGGCCTCAGGTGCACATTCACAGGGACCCCTGACCTGACAGGCTCTGTGAAAGAGGAGGCATTTGAGCCTTAAATAGGCTGTTTAGGACAGGGGCCACAGGCAAAGTGCCCACCAAGGACCTGGTGAAGGGCAGGCTGTGCCCAGGTCCACGGGAAGGGGATCTTAGACAAGACGGCTTCGTTAGAAACCAATGGCCAGAAGAGAAGCCTGCACGACCCATCCAAGTTCTCAAACACACAGTCCATTGTGACATCACCAGCCGGGCCTGGCTGTGTATGAGAAGAGAGGCCATGGCAGTGCCATTCTCCTCAGCCCTGGCCTCCGTCACCTCCTGGGCCAGCAGCAAAGCCAAGGGCCATGCTCATGTTATCAGTTTTGCTGCTCTTGTCCCAGGCCAAGGGCGAACCTTCCGGTACGTAGACTCTTCTCTCGGTGCCCAGAGCAGCTCTCCCAGGCGGGCCGGGGGGGGGCTTGATAGTGGCTCCTGCTCATGGACCCTTCACCCGGTCAGCGGCGAGCGTTAGGGGCCAAAGCAGAGCGTTGGTTAGCCGGCTCGTTAATGAACTCATCGGCCACTATGAGCGCTGGCTCAACAGGTATTAACAGGGAGTCTGCTCTCCTGGGAGCTGGGCCGGGACTCTGTCCAGAGGCAAGTTTCTCTGCTCTGCGCGGGCATCTGCAGCCTGGGCCCTCAGCCCTCAGGGGATGGGGCTGCTCTGCCTAGAACAGAATGTCCTAGAACAGTTCAGGCCTTCTGGAAGGTTCAGGCCCTTTCTGGGACCACTGTGGTTTCCACACAAATTAGTTTCCTAGGGCTGCTGGAACCAACTACTACAAAGTTAGTGGCTTAAACTACACACATTTCTTATCTTTCAGTTAGTTCCGTTGGGTAAAGATCCAACGTGGGTCTCACTGGGCTAAGATCAAGGTGTTGGCGGGATCGCCATCCGAGGCTCTGGGAGAACCTTTGCCTTGCCTGTCCCAGCTTCTGGAGGTCATCCACCCTCCTCAGCGCATGGCCCCTTCTTCCATCCCCCCAGCCAGCAGCACCGTAGCTCTCCATGCCTTTCCTCCATAATTGCAGCTCTTTTGCTTGCTCCTCCACTATTGTTAAGGACCCCCGGGATTCATTGGGCCCACTCCGACTATCCAGGACCATCTCCCCACTTCAAGGTCAGCTGATTCACTTTATTCCATCTCCAAAATCCCCCTTTGCCTTGTAAGGCCCTACCCACCAGGACATGGCCCATTAGGACATAGACACCTTTTGGGGGACGTTGTTCTACCTGGCACTCTATAGTTGGTGTCGGACAAATATTTTCCACTGATCTCTCTTGGATGGGAGCAGAGACGAGCTCAGGGAAGTGATTCACCCGAGATCATAGAGTTGGAGGAGGGCAGAGCCAACACATCCCACCCACATCCCAGGCTCTGTGTGATGAAAATAAAGCATCTGTTGGGTTACTCGTGTACCTGGGGTGCTTCGCTGGGCCAGCCTTGGTTTTCTTGTATCTGGAATGAGCATAATGGTAGCTACCTAGAAGCCTCCTATGGATATTAAGTGTTTCATCTTTTCCTCCCTCACCCTTCCATTCCTCCAGCATGCGGCAGAAGACCCGTTTTTGAGGGAGGACCTCAGTATTCCAGAATCATAGAGGGGACAGAGGCTGGGGAGGGTGAGTTTCCATGGATTGTGAGCATTCAGATAAGAAATGAACATTTCTGTGGAGGCACGATCATCAATGAGTGGTGGATTGTCAGTGCTGCTCACTGCTTTTTCAGTAATGGTCTGGAGTAAGTATCAAGAGCCCATCCCAGCTGCTTTTGACACTGTCTGCCCCCCGAGCACCCCCACACTCAGCCATGCCTGATTGCCAAGGGGGATCCCAGGGCCAGCCAGTCCTCAGTCAGGCATGATGGCCCCGGGGACACGGAGGCAGTGAACCTGCGCCCTCCTCTTGGTTACCGGGCCAATGACTGTGGCTTCCCTGCAATCACACACTGTCCTCCCCAGGAACATCTGCAGCCTGGTAGAGTTAAAGGGCTTGGTCTGTTGGCCTCTCCTAGGACAACCAATTCCTTCTAGGAAGAAATTTTCCTAATTCTGAAAGCCTGGGTTTCCAGGCCATCTGACACCCCTACTTCCCTGCTCTTTGTAGAGTTTTCTCTGAGCTCCAGGAGATGGAAACCTAGCATTTACTGATTACTAATCATGTCCCAGTGACTTCCTGAGCAACTGCCCGGATTATTTAATTGTACAACCACCCTCGGAGCAGGTAGAATGAACGAACGTATTTTATAGAGATGGAAACAAGTCAAATAAGGGTGGGTGACTCATTCAAGGTCCGCACCCAGGAGACAGAAATAAGATTGAAATCCTGATCCCAGTCCTTGTGCTTTCTGCTACACCCGCTACCCCACCTCAAGAAAGTTTGCAGGTTCACAGCAGGACTGACTTTAAAGGGTAAACCAAACACGTGGAAAAGTTTCTCCGTGTAATAACCATGGAGCCTTGTTGCACCAGCCCTCACGGGACACCTAAAGATTGGCTATCGGAAAGTCCCTGGCCGTTCGGCCTGGAGGGGATTCCTGAATCATTACTGAGGATTCTTTCTGTGTAATCAGTGGCATGTCTAGAGTAAACTCTGTTCTGGCGTCTCTTAAGTGGCTGGTAGACGAATCTACGTAATTCTACCTTACCTGAGGGCCAGCTTGATTTGTGCCAATTNGTTCTGGGGTCTCTTAAGTGGCTGGTAGACGAATCTACGTAATTCTACCTTACCTGAGNCTGTTCTGGCGTCTCTTAAGTGGCTGGTAGACGAATCTACGTAATTCTACCTTACCTGAGGGCCAGCTTGATTTGTGCCAATTGGTTGTCTGTGGGCTAAGTTCTGCCTTTGCGCCAGTAGACAGGGGTGTCCTTAACCCCTGGGACTGTGCTGGACGCAGTGTCCCCATAGTCTGCCATACTAGCTTTCCACCCTCCTTCTCTACCTTCTTAAAATTCTCACATCTTCTTAACCTCAGCCCCAGTAGAACACATCGTAAAGACCCTAGAACTATATGGGATGTAGGCTTTTGGGGGCAGAGCAAATTCTGGGTGCTTTGTGACTTTCCTTCCCCTCCCACCTTCCCCTCTCTGGTTCTGTGCCACTAGTCCGAGAGACCTGAGTGTTGTGCTGGGAACCAATGACTTACAGAGCCCATCCCTGGAAGTAAAGGAGGTCACCAGCATAGTTCTTCACACGGGTTTTGAAAGATTGAGCATGGACAATGACATTGCCTTGCTGCTGTTGAACTCGCACATCAAGTTCAACGGCCTGAAAGAACCCATCTGCATGCCCAAGAAGCCCAGCACGGCCAAGTGGAGTAAATGCTGGGCGGCAGGATGGGGACAGATCAGAACTGGTACGTGGCTGCACAGCATCTTCTGAGATGCTGGGGGAGGACCCACATCACAGGCATCTGAGGATGGGCCACTCAACTGAAACAAGATGGGAGGAGGGTGCAAGGAGAAAAGGCTGAGGGCAAGAAAAGGATTTGCTCTGGGGCCAGGATCTACTCAGAAGTTAGACGTAGCATAGGAGGCCTCCAAGATTAAAAAGACTCAAAAGGGAGAAAAAATTTTAAATGTCTATATGGTCAGTTAATGAGGTGGAGAGAAATCCTGGAAGCTGGCTGGAAAGGGCCTTGGCAAATCCCCATAAAGACCTGCAGCCAACCTCCCCCTGCCTAGAGGACCTGAGAGCTTTTCCACTGGGAGTGCAAACCCACTTTCAGCAGCCCTGTGTCAGGGGAGGATCATACTCTCATAATAAAAAGCGGCGATAGACAGGATGAAAGGCAGGATGGTGCTAGGAAATGCTTAGCCAGCTGCAAGAGGTCAGGTCTGCAGGGCTGGTTGGAGTCAAGCTGGTCGTCGTCTTAGACGCAAGGGTATGATTTTGAGTGAGAGGAATAATTGACGTAGCGGGGAATCGTTTGGAAAAGCCTGGGGTGGTGGAGCGGGTGGACTGCATGGGGTCACCGGAAGGAAGCAAAGGTGAGGGGCTGTGAGGATGTGAAGGGATGTGGAAGGGTGGCCGGTGGGATGCAGGGATGCTGAGGGGGCCTAGGGCACAGTCATTTGCATTGTTGACACAGGGACTACTGTCCAGTAGCTTTTCTAATGTGCTTTCTCTTTGAACAAGATGACAAAACCTCTTTGACAACTGACCTGAGGAAAGTGCCAATGATCATCGTGAACTGGGAGAAATGTTCAAAACTGTTTTCAAAACTTACCAAAAACATGCTGTGCGCTGGATATGAGAATACAAGCTATGATTCTTGCCAGGTAACTAAGGGATACCCCCTCCCTCCCTCTATGGGCCCCCCATCCCCTCAGGGCTGCCAATGCAAGGGGATCCTCTCTCCACTGGGAATAAACAGTGAGTCTGGAAAATGTGTGGGAATCGGGGCTTGGCTGTGGGAATGGTGACATGGACTGGGGAGTGCTCTTTGTCAGGTCCTTGGAGTGATGCCAGAAACACAACTCACGAAAGGAAAAACTGATAAACTGGACCTCATCAAAATCAAAAATGTTTCTCTGTGAAAGACCCTATTAAGAGGATGAAAAGACAAGCTAGAGATTGGGAGACAATATCCAAAAAGGAATTATACTTAGAATATATAATGAACTTTCAAACTCGACAGGAGAAAAACAAACTATACAATTAGAAAATGGGCAAAAGGCATGAACAGACATTGCACTAAAGAGGATATCCTGATGGCAAACAAGAACATGAAAAGATGTTCAATGTCATTGGCCGTTGAGCAAATGCAAATTAAAACCCCAATGAGATGTCACTACACGCCTCTCAGAGGGGCTATAATTAAAAAAAAAAAAAAAAAATTGTGACAAGGTACCAAATGCTGACAAGAATGCTGAGAAAACTGGATACATTGCTGGTGGGACTTTAAAATAGTTCAACCACGCTGGAAAACAGTTTGCCAATCTCTTAAAAAAACGGAGCATACTCTGGCCACATAACCTAGCAAATGCTACTCTCGGGCATTCATTTCAGAGAAATGAAGGCTTGTGTTCACACCAAAGCCTGTACAGGAGTGTCTATAGCTGCTTTATTCATAATAGCAAAAAATTGGAAACAAATGTCCTTCAAGATCTGGATGGTTAAGTACCACGAAATACCACTGAGCTATGACAAGAAACAGCTATTGATACAGGCAACAAAGTGGATGGGTTTCCAGAGACTTACACTGTGTGAAACAAGCCAGTCCCCAAAGGTCTCACACTGTATGATTCCATTTACATAACATTCTTGAAATGACAAAATCGTAGAAATAGAATACAGATTAGTGGTTGCCGCAGAGGTTTAAGGAGGGGATGGGGGTGGGAGGGACGTCGATATAGCATAAGAAGGGCATCATCTCTGTGGCGATGGAAGTGATCTATATTTTACTGTATCAGTGTCAGTATCCTGGTTGTACTATAGTTTTGCAAGATGCTGTTCTTGGGGGACACATGGAAAGGGTACATGGAATCTCTCTGTATCAGTTCTTACAAGTGTATATGAGGCTACGATTATATCAAAAATAAAAAACAAAGAGAAGACAAAGTTTCCCAGACACAGGAGTTAAAGGAAGATCTTGGATCACAGCCATGCCAGAGACCTAGGGAGCAGCCAGTTTATGCTGGAGCAGGAGACAAAGGGCTCCAAATAGCAATAGAAAAGGGGAGACGCATTCAATAGCGTGAGTAGAAAGAGAGCGTTCCAGAGAGAGTGTGGGGAGATGGCAGAGGCTTGAAACGGCCTCACGTGTTCAGGGAAGTGCCCGTGTTTCAGGATCCAGAGGTAACGAGATGGGTGTGGACAGGTGAGCAGCGCAGGGAGGTAGGTTGTGCCCTGAGTGGGAGACTAGTTGTCCCAGGCTGTCACTCCTGTTGCTCAGGCAAGAATGTGAGGAGCAGGCCCCACCCATATTCCCACTCTCTTTTCAATCTCTCTGACTCAACGCCGTCCCATATACAAATGGCCAAACTAACTGTGGTGACATTTGAAATCATCAAGTGCCATCTTCAGTGACATTTTCTGCAACCGCTGCTTCAATAGCTGGATCTATCGTCCAGAGCCTAGGATTTTTGTTTCAATCTCTCTCCTGTCAAAATGCACTTTAATGAAAGCTTCTAAAATTAATCCTCTATTACTTAAGAGTGCTATTAAAAAAAAAAAAAAAAGTGCTGTTATCATTTTAAGCCAGTGTGTGTGTGTGTGTGTTTGGGGATTTTTTAGTTGTGAAATGAAAAGCTTTGCNGTTTTAAGCCAGTGTGTGTGTGTGTGTGTGTGTGTTTGGGGATTTTTTAGTTGTGAAATGAAAAGCTTTGCTCTCTGTTTAGAAAGCTTTCTATTGTCAACAATAAGCTGGAAGTGATCCAGTCAAGGAAATTTTTCTGAAATTACACAATATTATCATCACTTAAAAACAAAGAAGCCAGGCAGTAAGTCCCTTAGGGTTTAAAAATAATTGCCCTTACAAATAAAATCACACTTTCAAATTTAGCAAACTTTTAAAAACGCATGTAATTACATAATTAAGGGAAATGATCTTTTTAGAATGATAGCATTTAAATATGTTCAAAATAATGGCAGTAAGATTCTGTCATACTTAAAACACAAATTAAAACTAAATGCTAAAATGAAAAACAGTTGAATTTTTTGGTTTACTTTTCCCAGCACTTTTCTCCTTTGTAATCCCCCGATTAAGGTTATAATGTGAAAAAAAATTCCATTTAAGAAAAATAATTATTTTTAAGTGGCATTGTCGAGAAAAGTATGACATCAAACATATCCCGGCTCGCAACAATATTTTGTGAAGGAACCACGGGTATTTGACAGCGGACAGCGCTGTCTGTTTTCTCATCTGTCTGCTCAACTCCAGCAGAAATGTGTGAATTCCCTGTACCTAGTGCCGCGCTTGGCACATAAAAAAATGGTCAACAAATGCTTGTCAAATACATGAACTTCCCAAGGAAGCCAGCAACTGTCTGCCAGCCAAGTAGCCCAGCGGAGGGGGCACCTGAGGCAGGCCCTGCGGGAAGCTAAGCGCCTGCAGNAGCTAAGCGCCTGCAGGGCGGGGGGGAGGCAGGCTGGCAGCCAGCTCGCTGCCGGGCAGTTTGGTGGTGGGGCTGCCAAGCTGACTTGGATTTAGACCCGAGCTACTTCTTTTAAGACTTTTTTTTTTTTTAATGGCAGTTTTAGGTTCATAGCAAAATGGAGAGTGAGGAATAGAGGTTTTCCACGTACCCCCTCCCCCCACACAGGCACAGCCTCCCCCACCGTCAACGTCGCCACCAGGGTGACGGGTTACAGCTGGTGAGCCTGCGTGGACGCGTCACCCGGAGTTATCGCCAGAGTCCACAGTTTACCGTAGGGCCACTCTTGTCATTCCTTGCGCTGGGACAAATGTACAATGGCGCGTGTCCATCGTCCCAGTGCCATAGGGAGTTTCACTGCCTTGGGCTACTTCCCAGGGTGTCGGGGGGCACGTCACCCATGCCGCTTCGTGGACGTCTCGTTTCACTCCACAAAATCGTAGATGTTTGGAGCTGCAGACTTTTAGAGCTGAGAAGGAATGTAGAAAAGTATTTCATCAAAACTCTGTTTCCCAGATGAGAAAGCATGATTATCTTGATGATACATCTTTTCCTTCGCTCCCTGAGTGCATGGAAGCAGCGTGCTAACTTCATGGCTCTTTCCCGCGTATCGAATTGTTTCATTTTTCTCCACCACCCTGTGAGCCTGGCTGGGCATGTCTCCCTCTCGCTGTTCAAACAGACGAGAAAACAGGGATTTAGAATATGAGTGATTTCCCCTTAGTCCAGGGAGGGGTGGGCTCCGGCTGGAAGCCAGGTCGTCTGCCCCTATCCCCCCCAAAACCAGGAGTGATCACACGGTGTAATTATCTCACAGCGGTGAACTTGGGAGGCTCCTGTGGTCCATATGTTTCCAACCAGACAGGTCCTTGGCTACCAGCCTTAGTCCTTGGAAGAAAGTCTTCCTTCGATGGGCCGTCATCAGTATCAGGTCCGTACTGGCTGAGGCCAGTTGCTCCTTTGGGGCTATCCTTGCTTTCTTTCCAAGAGGAAGAGAGAAAATGTTAAGGCTTTGTGCATAAAAGGACATGTATTTACAGATGTTCCTCTTGGGCCCCAGCAGGCCGTGAGGGGAAGCTCTGTGTCCTGAATGTACAAGTAATGTTCGTAATACGTAAGGGTGAAATAATGATACTGTTATGTTCCTCGAGCATTTACTACATGGCATTTACTCTGTGCTGAGTGATGTACAGATTTCTAAAATTTCATCTGCCAGGAATCTTGGAAAGTAGTTGGTAGTATCTGTATTTTAATGACACTGAAACTGAGGCTTATAAACTTTACCTGCCCAAGGACAGTTCTTTCCTTGTTATGTAGGGAGATAAATAATCAAGACAACACATTAATAAAATTTCTATAACATTCATGCCTTCGTAAAGTTGAAGAAAATTATAAAAACGTCATTTATGGAAGAAGCTATCAGTAGAAATCCTGTTGATTTGTTCTTGCCCCGTGACTCTGAGACAGAACTAGAGCAAAGGCAAGCACCCACCCACGAAAAACAAAGTGTTAGAGCAACACCGTATTGGAAAAGGGCACTTTTGGTTTTGGCCCACACTTACTGGGCCTCCTTGAACCCCAACCTCTCTGTAAATTCTGCTGTTTAACCCTCTGTTTGGTCAACCCAAACTCCACTGAAACGCGCTTTATTCTCTCTCTTCCCCTGCACTTTACCCCTCTAACCACACTCCACGACCTCGGAAGTAGTCGCCACCACCCGTGACCAGTGTCACCAGCCATCAGCTCACGGGGGTCTCAATCCCTCCCCCCCCAGCCCGACCTTCAGACCCTGGTCATGTCACCTCCTCTTAACCAGTCCTCCTACCTTCTGTCTCACTTCCCCCTAAACCATCCCACCTGCTCTCCCTGTCAAATTCCTGTTGATCCTTCAGACGCAATGCCTGGTGGTCCGTTAGGACAGAGCTTCCCCTGACCAGCATCCACCCCTCCCCCTCTGCACGGCCGCTATATTCATACTTCTCCTGCCTCATCAAACACAGTTAATCCCATTTGTTCACATTTGTGTCTTCTCCCCTAGACCATGGGGTCTTGTATCCCAATTGCCTGACAATTAGTTTTTCCTCAATGAAAATTTGGGAAATGGGAGTGATCAGACCTCTTTCCACCTTCAATTTTCTAATTATAAAATGAGAGTCAAAATACCTACCTCAGAGAGAAATGAGGTGGTGGAGCTGATGAGAAAAAAAAAAAATTAAGGGGCCAACCCAGGAAATGTACGTGGCCAGGAAATGTAAATGCCCTCCTCCCCCCCCAGCGTCCGTCCTAATGCGCCAACCATTCTAGTCGCCCGTTCGCATCGCGGGAGGAGCCATCTCTCCGCTGAAGAAAGACGGCCTGAACGGTGGTGGCCACGCGACTGCGTTGGTGGGAGTGCGTCGCGAGGCGGCCAGGACACGGGCTTCAGTGTCAGGAAGTCCTGGGTGCAGCGGCCACTACGCACCCCGAGCAGGCCTTGCATCCCCCTTAAGCCTCCTTTCTCTGTATCAAGCAGGTGAAAGGAAGCCGTATATATGCGTGGTCTGCACACTGTAGGGACTTGGTACGTATTTTCTAATAAATAGTCTTGTGAGTCATAGGCCCGTGTGATTCCATCCTGGAGGGGCGCACATACAGAAAAGCTTGGCTCGCTCACCCCCCTACGGACACCCACACCAAAGAATTAAAAAAGAAATATCCCAGTTCTCTCTCATGCCTCTGGAAGACCATCAAAGGAGACCCCACTCATCTCGGCAACCCTAAGAACACTTCTCCTATCTGTTTCCATTCCTTTCCTCTACAGCCCTTTCCAGAGAGTCTCTCTTTGCCATACCATGTTTAATGTTTAAGAAACACCTACTGTATTTTTAGCCAATAAATATATCGAGATAAATCATTGACTTTACCTAACATGTTATGATTTTTTTTAATTCATTTTTTTAGGCCCTGGCTGGGTGGCTCAGTTGGTTGGAGCACCGTCCCCTACACCAAAAGGTCTCGGGTTCAATTCCCGGTCAGGGCGCACACCTAGGTTTTGGGTTTGATCCCCGGTCAGGGCTCATATGAGAGACAAAAGATGTCTCTCTCCCTCTCTCTCTCTCTCTCTCTCTCCCTCCCTCTCTCTCCTTTCCTCTCTAAAGTCAATGAAAACATATCCTTCAATGAGGATTAAAAAATTAAATTTATTTTTTATTTAAGTATAGCTGGAGGACAGTCTTATACTGGTAATGTTAGTCTCAGGTGCACAGCATAATGATTTGACCTCTCTGTGCCTTACCGTGTGCTCACCCCACTAATTCTAGTCGTCATCCGTGGCGGTGAAAATCTATCACGATATTATCGACTCTATTCCCCTTCCCCCTTTCACACATCCCCCCACCCCTTCCTTCTCGTAACCATTTCTTTGGTCTCTGTTTCTGAGTCTGCTTTTGTTTTGTTTTGCTTGTTTGTTTTGTTTTAGATTCCAGAGCTCCTGACTTGCTGAGACCCACAAAACTAGCCCCCGGTCTCCTCTCAGCCTGTGCTCGATTAGTCCGTCCTCCGGGTCCCCTCTGCAGATGGAGTTATCTTCTCGCCAGGCCCTTCCTCCTCCCCTCCCTGCCCTTCAGTCCTGCCCCCTCCCCTGCATGCACCCTACAGCCCACAGTCCCTGGAGCC